TTTTTAATTGAGGTTAATATTGATAGAGGGCCTTAGTTGTTAGTTTCCCCTGTTATCACCCTCCACTCCCCATTTTCATTTGACCGTGTGTGTAAATCGAGAGAAGAGGGCTTTGTGCAAAACCCTTCCCTGCTTCCCTTCCCCTCCGTCGCCGGCGAGAGTGAGTGGTTTTTGGGTCGTTGCCGCTACAGGTCACTGGATGCCGCTGGAGGTCACCGAATCGTCTCCTCCGTTCATGTGGTCGCCGTGGCCATCACTAGAATCTTCTTCTCCTCTGTTTCAGCGTCACTAGAATCTTTCCCTTCCTGTTCGTGTCATCCTAGTGCTGGTGTGGCAGAGTTGTTCTTCTTTCTTCTTCCTCCTTTGTTTGCACCGTTGCTTTGGATGTTTCTGGTTTTTCTTTTTTTTTTTTCTCAATCTTGTCGCTGCTCTGCAAGGGTGGTGTGAAAGGTCATTCTTCCTTTTCTGCTCTGGCATGTGGATTATGTAAGCTCAGAATCTCTCCCCTCTCTTCTGCTATGTTTGTTTGAATTTCGCTAAGGGGCCTTGGATTTTTCCCCCATTTTGTTCAATGTCAAGTTTCGGAGTGTGAGATTGAAGGTTTCCTTTGTGCAGCTGGGTGTTTAAAGAGGCAAAGGAAAATTGGGGACTTTCTCCTATTAATTCTTATATTAGTTTCTATTGAGTGTTATGAAAAATATAATGGAATTTAGATGTTGTTTATTTGTGATTTTTTCCCTTTTAATACTTCAGCATTGTCATCGATCATCAATTACTTATACCACAAAAAAAAAAAAAATTGGCCTTGAAGATGTTACGGATACTGCTGTGCTTCAAGTCTTTCAATCACCATGATATATATGGGTTGGGAAGAAAAACTTAGTTGCATTGGAGGGGTGTAAAACAAGGACAATAAAAGGTATCTCCTGAAACTTCTTAGTTGAGTTGGGTGAAAACGATTATGTTGCAACGTTCTTCCAACACTTCTTGCTGTGGAATATTTGTAGGAGTTATTTCTTGTGTCTTGGTGTAACCTTATTAATGTCTTATATGTGTTGTTGCTATTTATTTGTGTAATGCTTTTAATTGCCTCTGTGTAGATTGCATATATTCTATATACAAACTTGTTATTTTTGTTGAAGAAATGAATTGGGAAGCATAGAACTTTATACAGATGATTGATAGTGTTGAATAAGTTATAGTAAAAGTTGTCTATTTTCTATTAGATGATTTGGAAACTTTGAGTATTGTTTATATAGGAATTTTAGAGATTTGATTAAACTCCCCAAGTGATTTTATTGTGATTGGTTAAAGGTGAGATTTTCTTTTCTTTTCCTTTAAATTATCTTGGATTGAATATTTTGCATTTATAAAGTGTATGAAAGAAATAACAACAATGTTCCTTTTGGTATTAGGAAGTAAGGTGAGGACAATATTTCAAAAGTGATTAATTAGGAGTAAATTATATATTTGAAAATGTCTCAAGTAAGTAGATATGTGCCAAAGGAAATATTAGCAAGTTCTTATTTACAAATTATTATTAAGTATATTCAATAATTATATTGTTATAATTTTGATCCCTGTGTTGATTATTATTATTATTATTAATGAAAATACATGTTAATGCTACGTCTTTGAAGAAAGATAGAACTATTCTTTGAATGAGTATTTTTTAAATATTTAACATATTGATAACTTTTGATTTACGTGTTGATAAATGATTTATCATTATAATTCATGTGTTGGAGAATATAGATGACATTTTTTTATATCGAGAAGAGATAAAAATGTTGATTTTACAAACCTATACATGCTTGATTTAAATCGTGGACTGAATTAGAATGTTCGTTGTTAATGATAGTCCTGTTAACCTTTGGGACGTCATGGTTAAATCCTAACTAGTTGGATATTCGTGAGTTTTGTACTCACACTTGTTATTCGTGAGCTTAGTATTCAAGCTTGTCATTTGTAGATTTTGCGCCTATGCCTGTTTCATGGCTTCAACCTTGCTAGATCATTTCATGAGTTTATGTTATGCTTGTTAGTTTCTTACCCTCATGGATTGTGTATTCATTCTTGTTAGTTATTTACTCTCATGGATTATGTGTTGACACTTGTTTTGTGGCTTTTGACCATACTTGATCAGTTATTTACCCTTATACACTATGTTTACGCTTGTTATCCATTCTAATAAAATTTGGCTAAAGAATATATAAAACTTTATATTTTTAATATAATCTTATTAAACAAATTGATTTTTATGTATGAATTTCTTTATAATGAGTGACACATCTCTTACCTATTTGATATGAGCTTAGTAATTAGAAAATGGAATTTGATTGTTGCATTATCATATGATAATGATGTTATTGGATCAATTGTTTAGATTAAAATTTTATAATTTGAGTTATGCATTTGTGCTATTCTGAATGACTGTTTTAGTGAAATTCATATTTACATCATTTATATTTCTTTTTTTATTTCTCATAATTTTAAATTTGAGACATTAGTCACTAAAAAAAGATATTTTTGGCTTTAGATGGTATAGCCGAACCTATATCTCAAGGTGTTTATTGAGGTAATTTGTTGCTAAAATGGAGTAGTGGAAGAGTTATTTCAGGAAAATCTAATTTGATGTAAGTTTGAGCTTTGTAATAATTTCTTGGTTTGGTTCTAGATGTTCCACGTATGTCGTAAGTAGAATCCTCATCTTTTTTTTTCTTTTTTCTTTTTCTTTGTGATAACAGGATACTCGTCTTTTTTGTAAGATCATATATTGGTTGGTGAGCATCAAAGATCCCAATTGTTATCTTGTGTTATATTAAAAAAAAAATTGTTGTAGAATTTTCAGAAAGTCTTATTTTTATAGGGGTTTTAACCAAAATTTTTATGTAAGTCCACTTCATTTGAAATACATGTGTTCAAAGAATTCTATTTTGTATCATAAATAGGTTCATGATTAAAATCAGATGTTTCCTATATTTAGCTTTAAGGATGTGGATTTTTATGCATATCTTATGTCGATCACACCTTTAAGTTTTTAAGGTGTGATAGTACCCAAGTCAAAACTCTTACACTCTAAGTGAGACTCTCTGCATTTAAGTTATAACCCTTGTATTCCATGCCAAAGTTGTTGCATCCTCTAGTTCTTGAGTTTGCATGTAATCTTTAATAATTACATGTAATCAAGAGATATTGACTTTTTCCTATGACCTTTCATTGATCAGTTGGAGCTTTGGTAGGTGCACTGTCACCTGTTGGAGGTCCAATTGGAGCTCCAATTTTGTGCCTTCTTTTTTAATTTTTAAATACAGAAGGACATTTCAGTTATTTGTTTAAATTGTTTAATGAATAAAATATTAACTTTAGTCTTTCAAGTCCAATTCGTCCCTTGGCACAATTTAAGTTTTAAACATGTCTTTATTACCAATTTTCCCTATTTAATTTGCTGTGGGTATGTTTTTTATATACTACTTTTTTATATTATTTTTTGTTGTTTCTAACTTTTTTTTTTTATGTGATAGAAGATATTTGTTATCTTTTTCAGGTTGACATGATTGTATTAGGCAATTTTTTTTTGTTTTAGATAATCTTTTTTTTAACATAATGTAATGTATGGAAGATTAGATTAAAAATCTTTTCACCAATTCTTTATTGAATACATTATATATTAAATACTTTATTTTTATTTTGTTAGTTATAATTTGTTCTTTAAACAAAGAGATGTATAGTTTTGATTGGAAAGTTTATTTTCTATTAGGTTTTTACGAAAGACATAAAAAATAGACTTTTTACTATGCTTCTTTCTGCATCCCTCTATAATCCGAGGTAAAAATGCTCTAGAATCGATATGAAAAGTCTATCCCATGATAATAATTTACGCAAGTCTAGCTAGACATGATTCTAAATTTATGGAAAAGTTCAGCAACAAGCACATGGAAGAGGAAGAAGAGTTGGAAAAGCTTCTAAAGAAGCTTCTGATGACTCTTCAATCTTTAATGTAGTCTCCAAATTCTTACTAGCTGTTTAAAATCGCCCTTTGGACCTCAGAGAAGAGTGAAAATGCCAAACTCCCTCAAAACCTAGCCTCCCACACGTCCAATGCATATCAGAAAATGAAATTATGAATTACGTTTTCTATCTTTTATACCGGTCTTACAGCACGCTCCTGCCATGGCAGGTGTCAAAACGGGTACTTTAAAATGTTGCTTTAATTTTTTTTTTTTAACAAACGTCACGACGGGTACTTTAAAATGTTGCTTTATTTTTCTCTTATAGTCTTTACCTTTTTTCCCTTTCAAATCATTTTATCCTTGTGCCAGGGCTTCCCCGTAATTAAAGTAACCCTCTAATTAAGACTCAAAGTGCTAACAAATTGTAAATGTTAAAAGAAAACAAAATATTTACAAGACGTGGAAAAACCAAAAGAGAAAAAAAAAAATGTAAGCGATGACTATATATAAATTTCTAATAAAACCATCCAAAATTTATAAAATTTAGAGAGTCTATCAATTATGCATTTTATGAAAAAAAAAATTATCCGCAAAAATTCTGTTTATAAGTTACATGTAATTTTATTTCTTGTTTTAACTTTAATATGATTTAAAAACGAAAATCATGATAACTTTAGTATGAAGATTCATGCAGTTAAAAAAGATAACCGATGAGATAAAATATCTCTAATGCCAACATGTAATTAACTTCACAACTAATTGGCATTAATTAAAACATAAGAAGCACGAGATATCAGCTATTCTACTAGTTGTCATGCATTTAACATAGCATTATTTTTTCTGAAGTATTAATTTCTATTTAAAAAAGCTCATTCATAAATATGTTCTGATAATTCCAAAAGCCAAAAACATACATAACGGTGTGCATGTGCATGTGTGTGAGGCAGTGTAAAACTGTAGGGTTTACAAGTACTTGAGCTACACCAGCCAAAGTACGTTATTCATAAAACATACATAACTGCATTTCTAGTACTCTTCAGCTGATCTTTACTGTTTATTAGCACAGTCGACAGGCGCAAAAGAAATTTTTTTCTGATCAAGATTATGCTCGACTTCAAAATATATCTGAGCCACGTTTCCATAAATGGATATTCCATTTGAATCAGTGGGAAGCATCGCAAAGCACATAACATCGTCGTTTATGAAAAGGAAGAAGTTCTGTGTTTTTAAGGAAAGGTTGGCTCCCGTAAAATGAACCTCAAAATTTGGGTAATTCTGGATGGAGTTAGCATTTGTGTAACACAATTTGAACTGATTGTTTTGTACTATGAATTGGTCGGCTCCGATGGCTTGCTTCACCAAAGCTTCAACCTGGTCATAAAAGCTTGGTGGGAGCATTGTCAATGTCGTTCCAGAATCAATGAATATGTTTCCATCGCTTTGACTTGTCAACGACACTTTTTGTTGTCCGACGGTGATACCTATCAACGACCATTTCACATAGATAATTTAGACCATGAAACAAAGAGTCGTGCAAAATTTAACTACTAATTTTCCACCATTCGAACTCAAAAGTTAAAACTTGAAATGAAAATAAACGAACAACATCTCAACGTAAAACAAAATACCTTCAAGGTTGAGGAAGTAAGACGACGACAAGGTACCAGGTTTGGTTATCAAAGGAGTGGACGAATAGACAACCCCATTTCCTGATATGGTGGTTTCTTCCCCAAATCTTTGTTTAGTTATGGTATTTTCACTGAAAGGAGGCAGACAGTACGAGAATTTGCGACCTATGCTACCCATTTGAGAAACTAATGACAAACCCCCTTGAGCAAGCCCGACAAGCCCTGCGATGGACACGCTAGAAGTTCCTTGCAATTGGTTGTTGTGTCCACATCCAAACACCGTCTTAGGAAACGAAACAGCTTGGCCACCATCACTGCTCTTTCCAAAACTAATTCATTCCATGCCCAGTTCTCCCATAGCGTATGAGCGACCCAAATACGCATAAAAATACGTACACTCATTCGACGTTCCACATCTAGGATACACTTGAACTTGCACAAGATATTTGGGTAGAGCTTTACAAAGGTCAGAGCCACATGACAGAGGCATATAACTGGATGAATTTTTAGGATCAAACAACGGTGTGTTTTGACGATAGCACCGAGCACAAGGTAAGCATTGGTACCAAATAAGGTCGCTTCCTGTGTCTGCAATAGCCCATCTCTCTACAGGCGGAGTACCAATGAAGATCTTCATGAGGTAGGCTCCATCGAGGATTGGGATCATATCAGTTTCTACTAACTCACTTGTTTCAGCCACATGAGACTGGCGAAAGCGATTAGCTCGAGAAATGGAGCTTAACGCAGCGTTTTGGACGCGCTCCGAGTGGGTCATGGAGGAGTTATAGAAGGGTGATAATGGTGAGTTACGATGAATGAGGTCAATGCTGAAACCTTTTGGGTGTTTATTAGTGGCAGAACTGATGGAAGAAGTTGAAAAAAGGAAAAGGAGAGGCAAGAAGAGTGAAAGAGCTTGCATGATTGAAGAATTGTAGGAAAACACAAAGGAAAAGTAGGAATAGATGAGTGAAGGAGCTTGAGATGGGTCTATTTATACAGAGGTCTTCGCGGCTTTTGGGTTACAAGTATACTATACTCAACGTGTTGCACGTACTCATATTTTGCAATATTTTCTTTTTTCATAAAGTTCAGAGCCACGTTCTCCAGAATAATTATGGTTATAGATTCTGTGAAGGCCACATCATCGAAATAGAAATAGAAATATGAATGGATAAGTGAGGAATATGGACCATATAGGGAGGTGTTTCTATTGGCAGAGAAGTATGATCATCCTACACTTTATTATTATTATTATTATTATTATTGTTATTATTCTTTTTTTGTATTTTTTAAATAAATTTTAAATATCTCCTTAAAATATAGTAATAAGGTATATATTATAGTTTTTTTTGGGTGAAAAATATATATTATAGTTTAAACTATATCTAATTAAAAAAATCATAATTACTATTACAAATAATTAACAAAAAATGAAATTCGACTTATCTAATTAGATTATGTGTGACCTCTACCGTCTCTTTGGTTCAATGGAGGGGTAGGGGAAGGGAGCGATTGAGGGGAGATGGGATGGAGGGATTTTCATAATCCCTACAAATTCCACCAATTTAGAGGAATTTCCTCCCCTTCCCTCCATTTTGTTTTAACCGAAGAAGGGAAGGGAGGTACCTTTGAATGTTTCAAAAGTTGGACTGGACGACATTAAACTAGAAAAGTTAGTGGGTCACAATTTTTACAGTCTAATTGATTAGATTGGTGACATAATAATTTTAAAAAATAATATTATAATATATATATATATATATATATAAAATCAATTAGCAACACGTCTAGTTGTTAATAAAATAACATAATATAACCACAAAAACCATTTTGGTGTACAACTCTTCTCTAAGTTTTGCCCGATGCATATGACAACCCAACTCTTGTCCAACTTGACTCTATTGTGAAAACAATCTTTGACAACTCAACTTTTGTCCCACCTGACTTTATCATGAACACAATTTTTTAGTCTAAACTGAGTTGTTAGCAAGTTAGGTTGACAATCCATCCATCTAGTCTAATTCTTAAAATAATGATATATCTCCTCCATTTTTCCAATCAAATAAAGGGAAAGAAAATTCATTAAAATTTTCCAAACCCCTACCCCTTCAACTGATCATAGAGTTAAAGAAAGTAACACAATTGGCTCCTTTCAGGAACAGTAGAGAAGTTATATCCAATAGGAGATTTGATATAGGGAGAAAGTCTTTTTTTTTTTAAAAAAAAAGAACATCAGTTGCATAATCAATGGAAGAAAGAATGAAACATGAAGTATGAAAAAGAAAGGGATAGTGTTAGGATAAGTATTTAGTTAGATTAGTTATTCAGTTGTTACCATGTGTATACACGTGTCAGCTCTACTTAATTATGTAATAGATTGTATGGTTCTGCCTTGTATTATATAAAGCCTTGTATAGATTCACAAGATGAATAAGATAGAATCAATTTACTCAAAATCTATTTTTTGATTCTTAGATGGTATTAGAGCATATTGATCTAATAGAGGCTTCTAGCATTACTGCAAATGGTTTCTCTATGAATTCTATCAAATATACTGCACAAACTTTCTCTTTTGATTTGGAAGCAACAAGCTCTTTCCACGATCAAAGGTTACATACTGCAAAAGTTTCTCATTAGTAAGTATGCAATTTCGTTGATGTTTTCACCGAAGCAGACGAGGCTTCTAGTAATCTCAATGAAGAGTTTCTCAATTGGGAACAACAGGACCAGTTGATCATGGCCTGGTTCTTGTCATTTATGAGAAGGTATGTAAGCTAGAATGGTTGGCTATGAATATAGCTTTCAAATTTGGGAGAATCTTACTCAATTCTTTACGTCTCAGACACGTGCTAAAGCTAAGCAACTCCGTACTCAACTCAAGAATCTCAAGAAAGGAGATACATCAATCTTTGACTATCTTCTTCAAGTCAAGAAGATTGTTGATTCACTAGCTACTGTTAGTGATCCTCTCACAATTGAACAACATATTGATGCTATTTCTAATAGACTTTGAATATGATTTGTTTATTGCCAGTCTTTCATCTTGGATTGATCCCTACATTATCTTTGAGATAGAAGCTCTACTTATGGCTCAGTCTAATTGTATTAAGTGTCACAAGAAGCTTTATAAGGCTCTTCCTCCTCAAGCTCATGTTGCTCAGGTATCATCTTCTTGTGATCGCTGCCCATGACACAATAATTCTTCTTAGAATCAAAATTCTCGAGGAGGCCCTGTGTCACGTGGTCAAGGACAGTAGGGTCGTGGTTGTACTTCTAGTGATTGACTTCAATGCCAAGTTTATTGTAAATATGATCACATGGCTTAGGAATGCTATAATCATTTCAATAAGGATTTTGTTAATCCTTTCAGTATATAGTCTTCTCAATCATAGCATCCTAAAGCCCAAGCCCCTAAGGCAATATATGGTTCAGTTCTTGAGTTTCAATAGGATGATGGCTGGTATACTGATTCGAGTGTAATAAATCATGTTACTACAAATGGTGATAATCTCACTACCAAGTATAAATATGATGGTCCTGATCAACTAGAAATAGCTAATGGTAAAAGTTTGCCTATTTATCGTACGGGTCACTCCTATTTTCTGTCATCATCTTCCAAACATCTTGCTCTCAAGAATACTTTACATGTGCCTCATGTTACTAAAAATCTTATTAGCATTTATCATTTTGCCAATGATAATGATGATTATTTTGAGTTTCATGTTGATTGATGTGTTGTTAAAGATGAAACATCCAATTCTGTTCTTTTATAAGGAAAGCCTAGAGCAGGCATGTATCGTTTCAAGCCATTGACCTTTGAACAGCCAACTTCTCATCTTATTCACCTTTAAGCTTTGTCTACTTTTGTTTCGTCCTCTATTTCTCTTGCCAATGTTATTTTATGGTATCATAGATTAGGCCATGCTTCATTTCCAATTGTATGCAAAGTACTCAATGATTGTAATTTTCATTTCAATAATAATAATACTTCTCAATCCCTTTCTTCTTGCACCTCTTGCTGTCTTGGCAAATCTCATAAACTTCCTTTCCCTGATCCTACCTCTTCCTATACTGAACCCTTACAACTTGTTTTTTTTATATTTGGGATCCATCTCCTAATCTCTCCTCTAATGGCTTTCATTACTTCATACATTTTATTGATGCTTTTTCTCAATATACATGGTTATATCCTTTACAAACCAAGGGTCAAGCTGTCTTTGTTTTCTATGAATTTAAAGCATTGGTTGAACTTCAACTTGGCACTAAACTCAAAGCTCTACAAACTAATGGTGGGCTTGAATATAAGGCTCTTGATCCTTACCTTTACCAAAATGGGATAATTCATCAATACAGTTATCTATACACCCATGAAAAAAATGGTACCACTAAATATAAGCATCATCATCTCACTGAAATGGGTCTTACCTTATTAACTCATGCTCATGCTCAAATGCCTATGACTTATTGGGATGAGGCATTTATGATTTCCTGCTATACTATCAATCGGCCACTGACACCATCTCTTAGTAGAAAGTCCCATTGGAGGTTCCTTTTCTTAGCAAACCTGACTACCTCTTTCTTCAGCCATTTGGTTGTGCATATTTTCCTCATATATGCCCTTATAACACTAACAAGCTTGAGCTTTAGTCTTCTCTTTGTCTATATCTTGGTTATAGCCCATCTCATAAAGGGTATTGCTGTCTTTCTTCCTCTAGCAAAATTTTTATCTCCCGTCATGTTATTTTTAATGAGTCTCTTTTTCCTTATAGCTCACATTTTGCTCCCTCTTTTATTTATTCCTTTCTATCTCCACCATCTACTTCTCCTCCACCTTTAATTCCTATTGTTTATTCTTTTTGTCCACCTCCTCCCACTTTTCGACTTGTCACATACCCGTCTCCTGGCAACTCCTCTACTACTGCTGCTATTGACTCATCATTGCCTACTGATACATCTAACACATCATTATGTTTTAATTCTTCATCTCCTATGGCTACACCATCACAACCATCTGGACATCCTATGGTTACTAAGGCTAAGGTGGGTATTTTTAAACCTAAAGCTCTTGTTGCTTCTCACGAACCTTGAATAGTTTGAGTTACTCTTATGGATCGTCACTGGAAGCAAGCCATGCATAATGAGTATGATGCTTTGATTGGTAAAGGTACTTGGGAGCTTATCCCTTTACCCACTAGTCATCTTCCTATTGGTTATATGTGGGTCTTCCATAATAAATATAATTCTGATAGTTGTTTGGCTAAATGCAAAGCACATCTTGTCACGAAAGGATTCCAGTAATGTGAAGGGTGTGATTATACTAAGACTTTCAATCTAGTTGTAAAACCTGTAACAATTTGAGTTGTACTTACTTATGCTTTAACCCAAGGATGGCCTATTCATTAACTCGATGTGAATAATACATTTTTAAATGGTCAACTTCATGAGGAGGTTTACATGTCTCAGCCACCTAGCTTTGAGAATACTGATTACTCACTTGTCTATCAACTATGTAAGGCACTCTATGGTCTTAAATAGGTGCCAAGTGCCTGGTTTGAGAAACTCACTACAACTCTTCATCATTTTGGTTTCAAGTCTGCTCGATGTGACTCTTCTTTATTTATTCAAACTTCTTTTAGTAAGACTACTTGGGTCCTTGTGTATGTTGATGATATCTTAATTACATGTAGTAATAGCTTATCTATTACTTCTCTCATTTTTGGTCTTAATAAAGAATTTGCTCTTAAGGATCTTGGCCAATGAATTATTTTCTTGGTATTCAAGTGACTCAACCCTCTGCAAATGTTATTCATCTCGCTCAAACTAAATATTCTTATGATCTTCTTTGTAAAGCTGACATGCATAAAGCTAAGGCTATGAAAACTCCAATGGCAACTAGTCTTAAGCTTTC